AAAAACAAGACCATGGCCGGCGCCGCGGCTCACTAGGCTAATCCTCCGCCTAGCGGTGCCGGCACACCGGGTTCTAGTCCCGGTTGGGGCGCCGGATTCTGTCCCGGTTGCCCCTCTTCCAGGCCAGCTCTCTGCTGTGGCCAGGGAGTGCAGTGGAGGATGGCCCAGGTGCTTGGGCCCTGCACCCCATGGGAGACCAGGAAAAGCACCTGGCTCCTGGCTCCTGCCATCGGATCAGTGCGGTGCGCCGGCCGCAGCGCGCCGGCCGCGGCAGCCATTGGAGGGTGAACCAACGGCAAAGGAAGACCTTTCTCTCTGTCTCTCTCTCTTACTGTCCACTCTGCCTGTCAAAAAATAAAAAAATTAAAAAAAATAAAAAAAAAAACAAGACCAGTCTATTTGTTGCCTAAGAAAACACACCTCACCAACAAAGATACACACAGAATGAAAATGAAAGGATGGTAAAAGATATTCCATGCTAACAAAAAGCAGAAACAAGCAGATACAGCCATCCTAGCATCAGACAAAATAGACTTTATCACAAAAACTGTTAAAACAAAGAGAGGTACTACGTAATGATTAAGGGATGAATTCAACAGGAAGATGTGACTATAATAAATGTATATGCACCCAAATACAGGGCACCTGGCTATTTAAAACAAATATTAATGGGTCTAAAGGAAGATATAAAGACAGAGATTGAATCAGTGATAAAGATTCCCAACAAAGAAAACACCAGGACCAGATAGCTTCACTGCTGAATACTACCAGACATTCAACAAAACTAATTCCAATTCTTCCCAAGCTATTAAAATGATTGAAAGGGACAGAATCCTCCCAAACTCCTTCTATGAAGCCTGCATCACCCTAATTCCTAAACCAGAAAAAGATACAACAGAGAAGAGAACTACAGACCAAATTCCCTGATGAACATAATTGCAAAAGTCACCAACAAAATATTAGCTATTACAATCCAACAATACATCAGAAAGATCATTTACCCCAACCAAGTGGGACTTATCCCTGGCATGCAGGGATGGTTCAGCATTTGCAAATCAATAAATGTGAAACATCACATTTAACAAACTGAAAAACAAAAACACATGCCTATCTCAACAGATGCAGAGAAAGCATTTGATAAAATACAATATCCTTTCATGATGAAAACCTTAAGCAAATTGGGTATAGAAGGAACATTCCTCAACACAATCAAGGCAATTTATGACAAACCCTCAGCCAGCATCTTATTGATGGGGAAAACTGGAAGCATCCCCACTAAGATTCAGAACCAGACAAGGATACCCACTCTCAACACTGCTATTTAATATAGTCCTGGGGGGCCAGCACTATGGTGTAGTGGGTAAACCTGCCATCTACAGTGCCAGAATCCCATATAAGCACCGGTTCAAGTCCTGGCTGCTCTACTTTGGAACCAGCTCTCTGCTATGGCCTGGGAAAGCAGTAGAAGATGACTCTGCACCCATGTGGGAGACCTGGAAGAAGCTCCTGGCTCCTGGCTTCAGAGCAGCACAGCTTCAGCCGTTGCAGCCATCTGGGGAGTAAACCAGCAGATGGAAGACCTCTCTCTCTCTCTGACTCTGCCTCTCTGTAACTCTGCTTTTCAAATAAAATAAATAAATCACGTAAAAATATATATAGTTGTGGAAGTTTTAGCCAGAGGCATTAGGCAAGAAAAAGAAATCAAAGGATACAAATTGGAAAGGAGGAAGTCAAACTATCCCTATTTGCAGATGATATGATTCTATATATAGGGCAAACGAAAGACTTCACTGAGACTATTGGGACTTATTAAAAAAGTGGCAAGAAAAAATCGACACAAGAAAATCAGTAATCTTTGTATACTATAAACAATGCAAAAAAGAATACCATGTATTAAATTTAACCAAGGATGAAAAATGAAAGTGAAATCAGCATATCAAAGAGCTATCTGTACCCTCATGCTTTTTGCAGCTTAATTCACAATAGCTATGATATGGAATCAACCTAGATGTCCATCAGCTGATTACTGGATAAATAAATTATGGCATATATACACTATGTACTACTATTCAGCAATTTAATAAAAAATGAAATCCTGTCTTTTGTAACAAAATGGGTACAACTGGTAACCATTATACTTAGTGAAATAAGCCAGTCCCAAAAAGACAGATACCATATATTTTCCCTGATCTGCTGTATCTAATAGAGTACCTAAAATGTAATGTACTGGAGTGAAATGAACATTCTGAGATTAGATGATTTTTAAATCCTTTTCTCTACTGTTGAGTAACAGTGGTTTTTTTCTTCATACTATTTCTTGAATTCTTTACTTAGTGTAAGGTTAATCTTATGAATATAAAGTAAACTGAAAATAAGTCTTTGTAAAAATTAAGAGTGGCGACAGGAGAGGGAGGAGGAAGAAGGGTAGAAGCAAGGGTGGGAGGGAGGGTAGGATGGGGAGCATCACTATGTTCCTAAATCTGTATATATGAAATACTTACAAATTTTATACCTTAGGCCGGCGCCGCAGCTCACTAGGGTAATCCTCCACCTTGCGGCGCCGGCACACCGGGTTCT